ATCCAAAAACAATTAATCAACAATATATTAATGTTTGCCTTCAAAAATGGGATGGATCTTTCCCTAATCAAGGCTATGCCATTGTTTATTAACCAGAATAACCATAAACGTACGAAAACATTTCAGTTTAAAGTTCAAATAGTAGACATTTTGTTAGAAAGAGAAATTTTTTCAATCACATCATAAAAACGTGACTTGATTCAAATATTAAAAATATTAATTACTTACAAGCATCAGGTGCGGTTGATAATTCGCATGAACCATCAGGTCCATCTGATTGAACTACATTATGATTTCCACCATCAAAGACCCATACAATCTATAAATTATAATTAATCGTGTTATTATCATAAATGCTTATTATACAATGTATAATAATAATGTCGTTATTACTTACCGTGTCACCTTTAACCACTGTGACATTTTGAGGTCTAAATGATAATGTTGGTAATCCCGTTTTTTCATCTTTTCCACCTACGTGAACAGTTATGTTTGCTGAAGATACGAAGGTCGAAAGAAAACAAACCAAAATTAAACTGATACTGAATAATATTCTTCGCGACATCATGTATATAAATATAGATTGGTTCGTTAAATAATTATCAAAATTTCTTTTAAAATCGTAATTTATATACTTTGATATTAAATAAAACAAAGAATATTAACCAACAAAAAAATCTCGAAACAAATTAATTTAATAATATTAAGAATTAAAAAAATCTTCAAAAATAGATAATTTTAAAAGAAAATTTTGTTGGCAAGGGAAAAGAAGATATTAATATTTATTTTTATATCTTTATATATAAAATTGGCAGTGTGATGCATTGCAATTAATTAAAATTTCTAAAAATAGAAAGGAACTGGTTATTTTGTTTATTTTTGTTAATAGTGTGGCGTGTAAAATTTTATTTGTACAACAAAAGAAATATTACCCGAAAATCGAAATGCAAATCTCTTCGAAAATTTATGTTCCAAAAAAGTCTTGGTGTTTTTGCTATTAAAAGAGTTTATTTATTTCCGTTCATATATTTCATTATTTATTTAATTATCATATTCATTATCTTTTTTCATCGACGATAAGAACAATTTTGTCTGTAAATAACGATGGTTTTCCCGGATAACATCAATTTTCATTGATGATAATAATATCGATTATTCAATAATTAATTAATATGATAAAAGAACCTGAAGTTCATAGCAACAATTTTAATAATTATAATATTCCTAAGCCACAGCATTAGCTTGAAAACAAGTTTCTAATTGGTGATAATACTTTGCCCCTTTCCAATCTCACGCCTCTTATGTATAATATTATTCTAAGACCAAATAAGCAACTGTCATGAATGGTTGAAACTCCAAAAAAATTAATTGATTTTATATCTTTCAATA